ACAGGATTTATGCTCTAATAGCTTCATTCGTTTTCCCACAATACATCTACTTATTGTAGCTTGTGTCCTTGGAAGTCTTTTCATACCAGTTTCTAGTCTAGAGAAGCCGGATAATTTTGAGCTATAATAGAAAAAAGGACAGTTTATTATTTCCTTCCCCCAACAAAAGCATGTTATATGTCTGTGCAAAGCACGGTTCCCACGTTGGTAGGCTCTAGGACTGAAGCAACTGAAAAAATATTCCTGCCTTACTGCAGTATGCAAGCACATCTGGAGGGCATCAGGTTGGGGAACACTGATTTCAAGGATTTAACGATCAAGAGAGACTGTGTGCAAAGCCAAGTACAGATGCCTGTTAGCATTGGCTAGAGCAGCCCTTGAACATGGAACTACTCAAGACACACGCATCATCCCATGATTATTATACAAACCCATTTATACGTCTGCTTTCTAAAGGAAAAATGACCATTACCACTCCAAAATGCAGAGGGGAAAGGCATTTCACACTGGAGTGGTCTGGAAAAGAAAGGATATCACCGAGTGGTCCTTCCAGGAATGTTTGAGAAAGTAAGAGAAGCAGAGCTGAAAACTCACAGAAATAAAGGAACCAGTTTTGCCACATCCCTACTGTATAACCCCTGCAGGCCTCACCCGAAAGGGAGAACTGGACAAGGACCAAGCAGACTCTTCTAATTTGAGCTAATCAGAAAACCTTCAATTATTTTATATCTGGCTGTTCTGCCAAAGCATGCAATTCACAGCATTATTAAAAGACAATCCAAACCAATAAAGCAAATATAGCAATTAAAGGTGCCAGCAATAAAGAAATCCAGAACAGACCACCAATTAGCTGTTGTCAAAAGGCCTTTTCAAACAGTTCTGAGGGACATCTCAATGTCAATAATGGACATGTATCTGTCAGGTAAAACTAGAAGGGTATTTGAAAGGCTAAGTCATCACTATAGAAAAGGCCCAGACAAAACGATTTTCATTATTTTCACTGACAATGAACGTCTTCAAAGAAGATCTTAAAGAAAAGAGAATACTTGTATCAAATAGTGTCTGGCAGATCCCAACTCCCAAGCTTTGTTAAGACTGTAAGAGTCAAAACAATACTTTAACTATGGCCTGAAGCAAACTGATAACTAGTGAGACATTAAGCACCAGTGAGAAGAGTGTTCAAACTAAATCCAAAAAACAATTAACTGCACTTTAGATTTCACTCAAATCTAAGATTAAAATCAATCAGATCTGATTTGTTCCTATTAAATTCAATGGGAATTCAAACTAACTTTTTTCCTGAATTCAAGTTTTGGTCCTATATATTTGCATAAAATAACCCACTTTTACCACCAGGGGGTTGCCCACTGTTGTAGCATTCAAGGAACTCTGTTCAGATTAATGTTCTTTGTATTTAACAAGGTTATGAACCTCAATCCCCAAGCAGCAAAAAAGGTCTAAAATAAATATAGAATTATTTCATACATAGTTAGATGGAAAAAAAAAAGATCATTTGACACTGTTGCTACAGAGTTCACGAATATCCCAAATAGCTTAAATTGCAATGAAAGCCAGATTCAGGGACAATGGTGGGGAATAACTTCCTGCTGTTTTCCTAGTACTGCCAATCCCCCTCCACCCCATCTATAAACGCTCATCCACAGAGGTTGAGGAAACCAAACTGGTATGGCTGATCTTTAGAAACGTGTAGCCCAGGGCATTTATGATGCCTGAGATGGAACAGAAAAAATGGCTTCAGTGCCTAAGATCTCCTGTACAGGTTGCCCTGAAGGAACAAGAGTCTTTGCAATCCCACATTCATTGCAAAGGGGAATCCAAACACCAGGCGGATCTCATCCCCAGAGTCCGATCTTTCTGGCTCCAACACCATCATACTCAATAACAGCCAAAAGTACTATTCTTATCCATGAGTTGTGCTCATCCTCCTCCCTTGCCGAGGGACCCCAGAACCCAGTGGTCACTCACCTCCAAGGAGATGTATGCAAGCACTGCCTTATTCTCCTGCCACCCCCCTCTCGAGTCTCTTTGTGTCCTGGAAAATATGGGGAACAAGTTAAAATTCCTCTTCTTGGCTCTGATCCTAGCAACCACCAGGCCAAATAGTTTCAAACAGCACTGCCCAAACAGGAACCTACCTGCCTCTTTAAGGTAGCAAAATCACCTTTTTCCCCCCCTCACTTCAAGACACTGACTATGATCTAAAACTGGATCCGCAGCTTCCAAGTGCAAGAACAGAACAAAATACCCAAGTCTTCCCAGTTAATCCATACATTTGTGACCACATTCACTTTAAATTGGTCAGAGATTTGTTTTATTGTAATAAAATAGCTTAAAATGTACATAAATTTAGGTGTCTCAGTGATTTGTCCATCAAATTAACCTAATATTCATCTCTATGAACCCCAGAAGTCATACCTCATATTTAAACAGTTGGCTTTAAGCAGTCAAGGGTCATACAAATATTCCATAATTTTTAAAAATCTATTTAAAATAACAGAACAAATCTTACTTCTTCAGTTAAGCCTCCTTCCTTCCTTCCTTCCTTCCTTCCTTCTTTCTTTCTTTCTTTCTTTCTTTCTTTCTTTCTTTCTTTCTTT